AGGCGCCGGCTATTTCCCGGCATGCTTGATGCTCAGGGGGGGGGCGCGACCACGCTCACAGCTCCGTTGTGTGAGGACACTAGTTAATGCAGCTTTAGGAAACGAGAAGAAGCAAACCGAGGCGAGCCACTCTTTTTTTTCCCTCCGTCTTGGCACCCCCTGCCGGTACTGAAACCCAGACTCTCGCAACCCTGCGCGATGTGTGATGTCAAACCCTCCTGAACGAGCGCCTCGGGTCCAGCGGTGGGGTTTAGGGCAGCTTAGGGTTCATGCTTTAGGGTTTAGGGCTTCCTTTCAAGGAATCTATAACAAGGCTTCTTGTATGGGTGTAGGGTCTGTTTTGTGTTTGTGGGCTGGGTCTGCTGGAGGTGGTGTAAGGGCTTCAGGACGGGTCCCGGATTTTGGACAGTGTTTCAGACGGCTGCGAGAAAACCCTAACTTCCAACTCCCCTAAGTGCCAGCCCTAAACCCTAAACCCTACCCTATACATCCCTTAAAGGAGCCCTTATAGATCCCTTTAAAGGGAAGCCTTTTTAAACCCTACACATCTGGAATCCAGAACTCCTCAACTCCAAGATCTTCCAAGGCTTCCTCTGGGAAACCGTGGGCTCTACCCCCTGTACTGGCAACATGTTCCGCATCCTATGCTAACTTCTCGAGCAATTTAAAGGAAGCTCCAGGTGGGGAGTTTAGGGTACATAGGGCATTTAGGGTATTTAGGGTTTAGGGGTTTAGGGTTTAGTAGGGTTTCGGGTTTAGGAAGCTCCAGGTGGGGAGTTTAGGGTACATAGGGCTTCTATACGGCCTCTATAAGGTATATAGACCTTCTAGAAGGCTCCTATAACGGTAGCTACCCACCTGAAAATGTCCTAGAGTAGTGAAGGTGGAACTTCAAACCGATCTACCAAACCAAGAGCCTGGAGGGCGAGGGGTGTCAAGAACCCAGCAAGAATTTAAAGCCAGGTAGCCCAAAACGATCTATGGCACCCAGCCCAAACCCATTTGCCCTGATCAGTCCCACAAGACTCCGGCAAAACGCCAGAAACTCCCAAGAACAGGATACTAAAACCCCTAAACCCTCAAGAAAGAAATAAATAGAAATTGCTTGTTGCTGTTGGCCATCCGGAAGCTCCTTTTTTCGGTGGAGACACACCTTTCCATTATCGAATAAACCAATTTCAGTTTCATTTTCGAAGACACCAATTTCCGTTTCAAGATTGCCCACCCACCCACGCAGCCCTGCCCAGCCCAGCCCAGAGCCGCCCAGCCCGGCCTCATGTCCGATTTCGGGCCTTAAGAAAGACGCCATCCTTGCAGAAGGGGTGGACCATCACCAACCAAACTCAAAACTCTCCCAGAAGCCTGTTTCATCTTCCAGGGCCTCCGCGCAGAGGCTGATGGCCCGCCCTTTCCGGAAGGCTCCTTTGACGCTTGGCAAATGACAACATGTATCGGTATGCATCGGCATACGAAGCTTCTTGTGCCCAAGCTCACGAGTCCGTCACCTGCACCCTCTAGACGCTGATTCGCTCCTTCGGCCGAAAGATGAGAGTTCGGAGACTGCTTTTGGCAGCCAGAGGATAGTAGAGTCCCCACGTCACATTCGACGCTCCTCGGGCCGAGGACAAGATCCTGCTGGACCCCTCGTGCTCCGCGATGGGGCAGCGCCCACTGTTGCGCTGGGGAATCAGCGCGGAGGAGGCCGGATCTGAGCCGATGGTTAGAATCCCATTTTGCAGGCTTGAGCACTATTATAGGTCAGAAACTTTCAGACTTGCGCATCCCGCCAATTCCCCGATGCATGCAATGGGCCTGCGGTCTTGCCATTCGAGTGGAATACGAAAGCCCTCGTTTCCTAATGGTGCCGAGCACCTCAAGGTCCGGAGCCACAGCGACTACCAGAAGCAGTTCCTCCGCACAGCTGTTCGGCTCCTGGCAGTGGGAGGCGCGCAGTACCGCGTAGTACTGCTGTACCAGGGGCTCGGGCGCAAAAGGCTGCAGACACTAGCAATCAACCCTCACGGCCCTAACGCCCTAAAGCCAGCAGCGGAGACATGGGCAGGTGAGATGGTGTACAGCACCTGCACTCTCACGCCGGAGGAGAATGAGGAGAACGTGCATTGGGCACTACAAACTCTGCCGGTGGAGCTTCTGGATGCCAGGGAGAAGGCGCAAGCCAGAACTCCCCATCTCCTTTAGCCCAGACTTGGATCTTCGGTCTCACATAGGCAACTGTGGCAGCGGTGATATGGTTGTGTGACTGCATGCGTTGCAGACCAGAGCTACTTTTTTTTTCTCCTTCAGCACCCAACGGTGAACTCGCAAAGGTCTTTCACCCTGCGGAACGGGGCAGCACCCTCCTGGCTGGACTTCCAAACTGCGGCCTCACGGGGAGCCTCGGATGGCTTTTTCTTGTGGGAAGGGGAGGGGGTGGCTCAACATCACGAGCACCTGCATCGGCATAGGCAGGCAAAGAGCCAGCATCACCTGCATGAAGTTCGGGCGAAGGGGCAACCCGTGTGGTGTTTGTGGCCGGGAAGCTCTTACTCACGAGCACACTTTATGTCGTTTAAGTAAGGTGTAGAGTCTGCTCAGTTGGGATGCTTTCATCCGTCTTGGCGGATGCTTCTCACCAGAGCTTCCGGGTCTCTGGTGAACAGGAGAGGAGGTCCCATAAAGCTTCGAAGCGAAGAGGCCTCAGCGGTAATGCATGCAGTGCATGCTTGCTGCTTGAAGGGGTGCGGTTTAACAGTGTAAGTGTGCGGTCAAGGACTGAGCGGCTGCAAGTGCTGCGATTCGATCCTCGCGCATGGGATGCAGGCGGGCTGCTTTTGGTGATCTCGTGTTTGGTGAGGTTGGAGGTCGGTTTGCAAACCGATTCAGCTGGGTGTCGCGGGATGGACAAAGCTGATCGCCAGCTTTTCTGTTGGTTCCTGGCCTTTTTTTCGCTTTTTTGTCGCTCTGAGCAGACGCAGGAAGCAGCACATGTACATGGGCCGCTCCAGGTTTCTTCATTTCGAAGTTTCGGAAAGTGGCGGCGAAGACGACCAGCAGCGAGCCAGCGGAAGAGCGGACGACGCAAAGCGCCGGCTAAAAAGCACTTCTTCGCGCTGTGTTGCAGAGCCTCGGTGCTTCGGTGTCTCTGAGATCCCCCGCTGCATGCGTTGTGCAGCTTTCTACGAAAACCAGCAACTTCTGGATTTCCCATGCCTCGCTACGTGCATGGCCTCCAAATGCCTGCAGCTCATGCTCATAGAAGACTCTTTCCCGGACCCGGCCGAACATGACAGAGGACTCCCTCCCTAGCAACTCAGGCGGAAGAGCTTCAGACGTCATAGGCTGGTACAATGCCAGCTACCCTAGACCCTAAACCCTAAATGCCGAACCTCGCCTGGCATGTCCGAGTTGTGAGAGCGTAAACCCTAAATGCCAACCAAGAAGCCAGGTGGTGGCCGCAAGGGTTCGCTTGGCTGCGCAGGACAAGACGGAGACCTGCCCCTCGGGCCCAAAAGGAGCTTCGGGGAGCTCTGGTTTGCCTCATACGGAGTCCTTCGATTCGAGGACGGCCTATTTGAGGCAAAGCAAGGCGGTGGAGCGGGTGCTTACTTACATGGATGCCTACAGGATTCCTGTTGTGGTGAGTTGGCACTTCGTCTTCTGTATGCTGCAGATTCAGGGTGGTCTTGAGGATCATGGACAAGACCGGAGTTATAAATGTAGATGGTCAGGATCTGAAACCCATTGCAAAGCGGAGGCGGGGGAAGAGGTGTAGCCATGTGTAGCTTGCGCAGCCCAGGCAAAGTGAAAGTCTACCGGGACACTCGCGTCCAAACTGCGCCAGTGGACTCCAGCCTCACTTACAGCATCCTGGTTCTGGTTAAGCTTGTGGACATCGTGTACAAGAGATCGGCTAAGAACACAGTCGGCAGGTTGTAATTCACAAGGGGTTCACTGCTTTCCAAGCTGGCTGTGCTTTCAGTTGGTGCCTGGGCTAAGCGGCTAAGCGCTCTTTTTCCAAGAGCAAGATTCCGAAAGTAGGCATCTGTATTGGCTCCGTTCAGAGAACGAGCGCTGCGTCTGACGGGATCCCCTGAGTACGCGAGAGAGAGAGAGGCAGGAACCAGGAACATGTCATGATCCGCTTCGCCAGTGGGTTGAAGCACTGCCGTTCGAGATGGTTTTTGAGGCAGCATATGTGCTGCAGGCCTTCTTACGAAGTACACCGGCCAGATCTTCGTTTGGCCGCTGGAGTTTGCAGGAGAAGTGATTTCGGGGTGTTCGGATTAAGGAGTCCGACGTCATAGGCTTGTTGACCAAGCTGATCCAATTGCGATGCAGACTCGCAGATTTCCTGATGTACCCCTATTGCGAGGGTCCAGCCCGGGTAAAGCTTTGGAGCCCACGCCGCAAAAACCGGACCGCAGATTGCACTTTCGGGAGCACAGATGGTCCAGCGGCAGACCTGACGACTGTACTGCTGCAACTCACCGCACCTCCCAGTCTCAGCCATCTGTACTTGGCACTTCCGACTAATACCGGCAAGACACTCAGATCCCAAAGGGAAGCGGCCCGAGCTTAGGTGCAAACGGATCTATGAGAGTCGATGGCTGCTTGGCGTTCTCGGTTCATGTTGAGGCTGTCGAGGCAAGCGCCAGCCTACAAGAAATTGCGTCCATTACTCCGCAGTCTGATGTGCCACGGTAGAGTCGTTAAGAAGTTTAGCTTGTCGTTCCAAATCTCAATAGAGAGCACTCAATAGTTCCAAATCTCAATAGAGAGCAAACGCTTTCGATTGCGCAGCCGTTTGCGTCCGAGAGCCTTCGGCAACCGGGCATCCGAGGCTTGTGCTTGGTCTGGGCATCGGGGGGTCGCTGGTGCTCTCGATGGTGTTGGCCCCGGAGAAGGGAGTGTGCCTTCAGAGGTGCGGCCAGCTTTCCGTAATCTGTGTGAGATTCTGCTTCGCAGCCAACTTTGCAGAACTTGAAACTGGCCTCTCCGAGGCTATCATCATGGGCTTCGCATGCTGCACCTCGGTTGAAACCGAAGCCTTGACATCTCAGGCCAGGGCAACTCGCACTAAGATCCCGCGAGTGTTTCTGCTGAGGCGTGGGCCTCGTCGTGACGCTTGATAGCAGCTGCGAGCAGTGCATGACTTCAGCCACACCTGTGCTGTACCATTGTTTCCCGCATTGCCTGGCATCGTTCGGCTGTTATAAACAATTATTACTGCCTACGGCTATTGACACTTAGCAACATCATGGGCTCCGTCATGGACCTCATGTTGTTGTGCCTGCGGTTCTTCCAGTATCCTTTTGCATGTTGGTGATCAGCATTCCATACATACGGTTGCTGCATACGGTTGCGACTCTGATTCCGATTCCCGTCGGTGTATATGATCATGGCTCATTGCAGTGGGCCGTGTTGCCTTCTGTTGTATAATCGGATGGTAATCTGATTCACTGATGGTCGTGCTCGTCTTGCTGTGTGGGAAAACATGCTGACAACTACTGCAAGTCTTTACTACGACCTTGGCTCTGTTCGTTGTTGCAGCAGGCACGTCTGTCTGCCTTTTCTTGGGGTATTTTGACAATAATGCGGATGATCACCAACCACTATGATCATGGTCATGCTCACTGCTGTGATAGCTGTTTGTGCTGTTTGCCTACGGAAGCCGGTGTTGTCTATTCATGTTGTCGATGGTGTTGCTTCGTTGTCATTGTTGTTTCGCTGTTGTCGTGAGAACGTTGAGTGAATAATGGCTCGGTTGTGCTTGATGCCCAGTGCATGGTCCTAGTCGGGCCCTGCCAGACGTGGCGCCTCAGGCATGTGCTCATCGCGCTGCTCTTCGCAGTCTTGATTTGTGCTGACTACGTCTTGTTCCGCCAGGCCCAGGGCAGAGCGGCGCGTCTCTGAGAGAAGTTGTGGGCAGAAAGAAATTTCACCACAGTTTGTCGGAGGCAGGCCTCGTCACTGGGCGCACAGGGAAGATGATCCTCGATGCGCTCCAGAAAGTCACTGAATGGGACATGCCAGCAGAGCCGCATGCCCGCGGTGTTCGTAAGATCTTTGCCTGCGTCGACGCCCAGTCGGGCAGAGTGAGAAGAGAAGGGGGTGGAGGTTAAGGCTCAGCATAGGATGCCAACAGCGCTTTGCATGAGCACTTGTCCAAGACCGCAACAGCCCGTGTTTGAGGTTGGGATCGTTGATCCAGGACTCGACGCAGGATGAGCAGATGCGTGAAGTGTACAAGTGGCCGCTCGGCTTCGTGCTGCACCCGCCGGGCTTCGTCTCAGTTTCTCTATGACTATGACTGATCCTTAAACTCCAAATCGCCATGTGCGAAGTCGAAACCCAAGTTTACATTGACTCCAGGTCGGCCGTTGGACTGCTGCTCTGCATTCTACTGCTTGCCTGCGCGGCTCTGGCAGCTCGAGAAGCCTGGACCATGATGTAACGGAAGTTTCTGCAAAGCGATGGCGGGTTTATTGGTGATGCAAAGATCCTGAACAAGCTAACTAGCTGTAGTCATCCAAATCCAAACCCTAAACGGAAGCTGCCATGCCTGCTTTGTGCGGCAGTCCCAAAAGAGTGACCGGAGTCTAAGGAGCGACACATTGAAATGCTTAGACAGCTCTCAAGGGAAGGTATGAGGCCAAAAATGAACGGCTCTACCTTGACTCCGAAGCCTGCCAAGAAAAACCTCCAAATCCTCGTCGCGTTGCTGAAGGAGGCCTCCAACACGATGCGCCCCTCGGGCTCAGGAAGGTTCTCCATGCGAGTAAGAGGATCCAGGCGTAGATGTCAGGTAACAAGATGAGATATGAGTATGGGTGGTCGTTGCTTTAATACTTATATGCGCGATGCAGTTCTTAGTAGCTGAATTACTCCACTTTACACGTTTTGGGATATTATGATCCCTTATAGAACTGAAAGCGTACACTTTCGTGTGCTTGTGAACTCAGCAACTAAGAGTCAAATGGCATGTATCGCACACGTAGTATAACGCAGTACGGGCTATGGCTTTTCATGGTTTGATATGCTGTACTGTATGTTATCATGAGTGACGCGAAGGCAGCTTACTTGTCCTATCTGAAACGGCGCCGAAAACACCCCAGGCCCAGAAGGCTGGATCCTGCGCCACAGGCGAGATGCCCTCGTTGCTCCTGGCCCCCTTCATGCTGGCCTTGAGCATGATCTTCATGTCGGTGGTGATGCTCTGGGTGCTTGGCTGAGCTGTGCTTTCCGAAAGAGCACAGCCTTGAGATACTTTGTAGTACTTTGTAGTGTACTCCCAGGTTTCGCTGGCCTTCGCCACAGCCAGCGCTTCGGACATCCCACGGACCACGGAGGCGATGATCAGCAACAGGGGTTTGTGCGAGGGTTCGGAGTCTAAAGAGCTACATCCGTGTTTCAAGCAGTCGCTTGCTTCGTGGCCTGGTCGGTAATCAGTCGGGAGGCGTGAAGACGCATGAGAACCGAGTGTGGGATCGAAGGCACACGAGAGTCGGGCCGTTTGCAGGAGAAGTGTCGGGATTGAGCGACCTCAGAACCTCATGAGTCCGAAGAAGCTTCTGGCAGGCCTGGCACCTTTACATCTACCCTGCGCTGAAGGCGATGCGAACTACCAGGGATTTGCAGAGGTGAAACCAGGTTCCGGCGTGTTTCCTGGGGCAGGTCTAGAGTCTCGAACCGCAGTTCCCTTTTCTGTTCTACGTCTGAGCTTGGTAGAACACGTCGGACGAGCCACTCCGGTTGCCTTTGTTGCAACAGCTGCTTGCCGATACAGAGCGCGAGAATGTACAGGAACAATACCTGGCTGAGTTGCGTAGAAGGGCATTGTTCAGTGACGCTGAAGCATCGTGTGTGTGGGGGCAGTCACCAAAAGGACACTGGAACGAGTGTTCTGCTACGACAGCCACTTGCCCCAACGCTGAGATGTGCTTCTATTGAAACTTAGACCCAAGACTTCTTTGCCCAAACGCTCGCAACTGCGGTGCAGGCTGCCGGCCTAGCACAGGCGAACGAAATGACACAGATGCGCCAGCTCTTCGGCAAGAATTGCGGGTTTCGCTGTTCAGGGTAAGTGCTCGAAGGGGTGCAGATTCTCCCCACCACGAAGATGAAGCATCTGCGAACGGGGCTGACGGGCCGCATCCAAGGGTCGCCTTGTTCGCATCTGACTCCTTGTCCCAATCCGCAACTTCCAGGACGGCCCTGGTCTTCAACCTCTTCGTGCCTCTTGGCAGAAATGCTGTGCAGTCGAGCCCCAGGAGTCAAGGAAAGTGGCTTTGGAGCCATGGCCGGTTCTTCTTCTGCTACGCTGCTATGCGCTGCCTTGCCAGAGTGACTTGTGGTGCAGGAACAGCATGAAGAAAGGTCTGAGACTTGTGAGGATTCAAACGCCTTGGACACGACTTGCTTGGCCCTTCTTTCCTGATCGAGGTTCCTTTTCATCTACCATTTCCACGTGTCCCTCTGCATTGCCATCACAGCCATGTGCGTCTCTCACTGGTGCCTCGGAGCGACACGAAGTTCTGTTTGCTGGGGGCCGAAGGCCGGGGGAGGGGGTGATTTCAATCCCAGACTTCGAGAAGCGTAAGTTTCCTGTCTTCCATGCGCATCCCCAGGTACTTCTACCGGAATGACCCCGAGCGGAATGCGGGCACAGGACGGGTCCCGTCTCCCCCCAGTTTTTCTCTCCGCAGCCTTCGCCTCCGGAGGAGTGAACTCGGAAGGATGGTTCTTCGGCCGCCCCTGGGCCGGTCGTTTCAGGATCCGGGGGAAGCCTACTTGCAGGGAGACGATGGTGCCTGATACATTGTTCCCAAGGTTGCATTTCTGAAGCACCGACCTCGTGCAGGGGTCATTTGTCAGCTGTCGCCTGTAGAGTGAATTCTGAGACAGACCGGGCAACAGCACAGCAAAGGCCCCATCCTCTTGGCCTTCTTGCGCCTTTGTCGACACCATCTTGGCTCGCTGGTCTTTGGCTCCTGTCACCGGGCATGTCAGAGTGGACAGCGCAAAGTGTGAAGATGCCCAGGGCGAAGCCTACTGTACGCGTAACACATAGTGTAGCCCTATACATATGGAACCTGGAAGCCGAGCCGGCATGCCAGCAATCATACCTGTAGGTATCATGGCCATCGCTACAATGCTCCGCATCTCGGCATGCAGAGCCGAAGGGCTCCAGCGATCCTTGGCCACCTGCCCTGCCCCTGGATCCGCATGCATGCCTCGGCCATTGCGCGGTCCAAGAGTGTTCTTGCGCGGCCCAGCGGTGAATGTCTCTTTACAATTTCCTCGTCTGCTGCATCAGAGGACTTATCTTTGAGTACATCGCTGCGAAGACGAAAGACCAGGAGCAGTGTTGAGCAAAGTTTCGGCTGGATGGTCAGGGAACCCATGATGCGTCGACAGGTGTTCTTTTCCTGGACCTCAACCGTGAGCCCTTCTTGAACGCCGAAAGCTTGTAACACCAAACCTCGAGCCATCGGCCCATCCACGCCGCTTAGAGTGCCAGACGGAACATAAGTCCGCCCCAACGGCAGTGCTCCTGCAGCTGACAAGCGGGCACGGAGGAGTCAAACCCGGTGGTGCGCGCTGCCGTTTGTGCGTGCCGCTGCTGCCTGTGGTGTCTGGAGCGGTGTCTACAGTTCATCACCGAGTATGCATACGTCCCAGCCTTACGTGCTCGCGTATGCAAGAGTGTTCGGCGTTCATCGCCCAGAAGTTGGGACCCGTCCACCTGAGTCAAGCCAAGCATCTATGGAATCTATGGTAAAGACGGAAATACGGGGCTGTTGGGGTTTCGTGCCAAATTCATGTTCGGCGCTGCGGCGCCATGTTGTAACGACAACATCCACCCCCCTCCCCTGGCCGTCCCGCGAGGTCTATGTGGCAGTGACTGGCAAGACTTTCTGCTCCTCTGCGCATGCGTCTTTCGTTTTCTTCGCCAAGTACCCAGTGTCTTCGTCAGAATTCAGCCGCTTCGATTCTAAGCGAGCTATGGCAGCTTAGCCCTTGAGGAACCTGTACCTGTGCCATGTGCACTTCGGGCACTTCGGGCATGGCCAAATGCAGGTGCAAACTGCGATGGACAAGATGGCGTCTGCAGTCTCTCGACACGGAAGCTTCTTTTCGTATCGTTAGGGGTACTTCGCTGGGGCTCGGCCCGCAACAGCGGGGAGACGAAGAGTGCCTGGGATGTGCAACAGAATGTCTCCCCCTGATCCCCCCCACGACGGAATTTCTGCTTGCGGATCTCCCTGTCTAGCTTGAACAGCACCGGCGCCAAGCTTCACCATCCCGGCCAGAAGCCTTATTGGCTCTACCAAGAGGCCTTATAAGCTCAGGTTCGTGCTACTCAAAGAGGGGGAAGAAGGCCTTGGCCTTAGGTCCCCCGTGGAAGACTTTGGACCCTTCACCAAGGCCTTGGGCTCCATAATGATAGTAGTTCCTTTTTTGTGGTTTGTACTTAGGATCCTACTTGGGCTTGGTAATCCCAAGAAGGAACTACTATGGAGCCGGCGGCCAAGGCCTTGGGCTACCTGCTCTGTGTGACAGTCCCCCTGGGCCTGGCCGTGGTCGCCTTCCCATGGCTGTCGGAGGCCGTGGTCGCCTTCCCATGTCCGTCAGATCACTTGGTGTAAGTGTATCGGTTGCTGAGGGGGCTGAAGCAGCCTCCGAAACTTTCATAGCTCCGACTTCCTGCGCTGCCGCAGGGGTCCTGGCCGCCCTGCGCCATTGTTATCATAGCCCTTGCGTACGCCGCTCGGCAGCATCTTGCGGCCTTCGGGGCAGGTCTGCGCAACCCGAGAGGGATGGTGACTGCAACCGCGCTGCTGGGGCGAGGTTACGACTCGCCTGGCAGCTGGAATCTACGATGTGTGCATCACGACTTTGTTTGTCTGCGTGATGCGCGACTGCGAACATTACGATGGCCGCTTCTAGGCGACATCTCGAGCCCGGGGATGGACTGAGACGCATGTTTTCTGGACTAGTGATTTGGGCATGTCGACTGTGGGGAACTGGTCGGTTCGGGCAAAAGTATAGTATCAGTAAAGCTTCCGTCGAGATTCGGGCTCTGTAGGCACTTCTGATCTTGCAGCAGCACACGGTCACGCTCGCGTAAAGCCTTTAGGCCTTTAGGCCTTTAGAGTCTGGTTCCATCACCAGGATCCCGTAAATTCCACTGAATGAGCTTCGAAGCAAGGCTACATGAGCAAGAATCTCCGGAGCGCTTGCGGCTTCGGCGAACTCGCTCGCCAAAGCCTGGCCGCGCGTCAGTCGGCCGTCGATGGCATCGAGCTACAGTGATCAAAAGTGTGACTGAATCGTCCACTTGGGCATTGCGGTGGTCTGCTTTGAGTGGGATCACTTGCATTCGCAAGGTTTGCTGCTGACGTTGGTTGGTGTTGGCGTTGATGACAACCGATGAAGGTCTGTCACGTGGTTCCGGCGGCGAGGGTAACGAATGTGCTTCTGTTGCTGCTGCTGCTGCTGCTGCTGCTGCTGCTGCTGACAGTGTTGCGAAAAAGTGATGGCGCCAATGTTGATGCGACCAGCAACCTCATCATCGTCGCCAATCCGGACATAAAGACGTCCGTCCCGTTCCCCCAAGTGCAAATCCCACAAGCCTGTTAAAAAGAGACGTTTGAGGAAAGAGTGGTTGACGTTGTTTTCGTACGCTGCTGGACGCCGGCACGTAAGGACCCAGAGGTTTCACCTCCCTGCGCAGGCTTTGTGCTTCACCGGTGGCCAACAAGCTCTTCTCCCGTGCGATCATGATGAGCCTGGTGCTTACTTCGTGTTTTGGCATGTTCCACATGCCTTCCGATCGGCGAGTTCTGCTAAACCACAACTCTCGCGATGCCAACGAGGTTCCATGGAGGGTCGAAAAATCCAGTGTAGCCGTGGTTTGGTGAATTTCACTGCAGAAGTGCTCTTTCAGGCCCGGCATCCTTCACTATCACTCCAGAGCAGGCTGGACACACCTTGTGGCTGTTGTGGGTGGAGAGCCCCATGTCTGCTTTGGGCCCCAAGGCTTCCGGAAGAGAGAGGAGTGACAAAGCAAAAACTCCCATGTATCCTCGAATCCTACTTTCCTAAAGGAGCCTCAGGAGGAACCCTGAGAGGTGCCCTGCAAGGCTTAAACTGTCCCTATAGACTATAGACCCTAAAAAGCCCCCCCCCATGGTCGACTTCGAAGTGCATCAGGCCGAGGAGTTGGCAGGCGAGTTTGCGAAGAACGCCGGCGCCCCTCAGCCCGAAGAAGGTTTCCGGGGTTGCCAAAGAATCAAAGATGGTCTTGTCTTCAAGGCACCGCAAGAGACCGCCACATAGAGAAACCCCAAATCAGCGGGATTCGTTCCACTAGCTGGGGCTACCTGATTGGGAACGGGCCTCGCTCTAGCGGCTGCTTGGGATCAGGCTGAGGGTTGCTCCACTTTCGAACTGTGCTGGAGTCTAGCCGGTAACTTGTCAATTCGCCTCATTCTTGTGAAAGTGACTTCTTGGAGACCCCCTCACCTGGCAAGTGCGGTAGATGCCCAAACCTCGACTCCCACGCTGGAGCCCTCAGCCCCAAATCCTTGGGAACTGGTATCCCAACTGTGGAATGATGGAACCTGATGGCCTGGCGGATGGGCGCACTTCTGACTTGGCCACCGGTCGCAGCCAGACGCGAGGGAGTCAGCCATCGTGCTTGGGAGTCGAGGTCCGAAAATGCGTATAAGGCCTGCGCCAAAGTGCCGAGGGCGAGAGCTGAAGCGCCGAATCTACCAAAACCTGTAGGTAAGCGACCGTACGCCGCCCCAAAACGAAGCACAGCGACTGTTGCACGACTTGTGGTCCGAGGCAAAGTCCGCAGGCCTCGCAGACATGCAAGATCTGTCCATGGAGGCTGCGCAAGGAAAACAGCGGTGTTTCTGTGGTTCACATGGCATAGAATATGATGACGGTCCGGGTCATTCCAGATGGTTTCAAGTTCAAGTGCTTGGTCGGCTTTGCCCGCTTGTTTATCGTTTACGTTCTTTTTTTGCGAAGTGTTTCCTGTCAGACCATTTCGTTGGCGTGTCAATCAGCCAGGGGTATTGGTGTTTCAAGTTGCCGTTTGTTCTGACTTGTTTGGCAGTGTCACGTTTGGGATGTCTGGCACCTGCCGATGTCGGAGGTGCGGGAAGCCGATACATGAATCGCCACTTTGCCCAAAGCCTCGGGTTCGATTTCTTGTTCGTATATGTTCTTTGTCACGACTAGCACCGTTTGAAGCGGGGGCCCCTTCCTGCACAGAGCCCTGAATTTGCGCAAAGCGTCAGGTGGTTCTGAGAACCCAGCTTGAGGGATCCTACCGCAGCCCGGATGCAGCAGAAGAGGCTTCCAAAAAGGCAGACAGCCTAGATTCAAAGATTCCATGTGACCTTCCAGTGCTGTGTTCACCGGGGGTGGTGGGGGGGAGCTGAGATGTCTTTTTTGGGAGTCTGTTTGGTTCGCCCCGGTTGTGTTCCTTGGTTCCACGGAGCGGTGCCGGTCCATCCTGGCAGAAGTGAGCCCTAAATCGGTTTAGGGGTTTAGGGCGGTAATTCAGACCGTGCCCGAACCCGTCCAGCAACCATCACGAACAGTAGCTATGTACCTGTTCGTGCAGGATGTAGTCTCACGCTGCCGACTTCAGACCACATGCCTCGCCTGGATTGTCCGAGTGCGAGCGCCGAAACCCCTAAACCAAGCCTCCGGCAGCAGAAAGCCTCGAGCGAGAAACCCCTATAGACCATAAGCCCAGGCATCTTCCCGACCACAGGGCCGGGTTGGCGCGAGCTCATGGCTGGGGGGTTGGGGTCTCAGAGCTTGATTGGCAACGGCACTGCTATCTCATCTTTCTACTCTCTCGCAGGAGCGATGGCCTGATTTGGACTTAAGGTCCCTGCCTGATGTGGACCCCGAGCCGGCTGGGGACCCTGGCTGTGAGGGTTCCAAAGATGATCTTGCGTTCGGGGCTTGGGGTTCTCTCAGGGTTGACAGCATTGCAACGTTCGTCCGCGGGGAACTTCATCCGTTCACTCAGTCGTTCGGGAAGTTCCGTCAGTTCGTGGACCATGATATGGGCTTTTGTTAGATGTTGTGCACTCGGTGTAGCGCTGTGGGCTCTGGAACGGGGCGACGAGTGTAGGTCAGCGGCGACAGTCGTTCCAGGCTTTTGAAAGGAGTTTCAAGCTTTGTAGGACTGGGAAAGCTAGACGTCTAGGTAAACTCAGCGCAAGTAAGACTGGGGTTACAGAATGCCCTTCCACCGGCATTTCTGCTCTGAGAGAGATCTTGGTTTTTCGAGGCTCCACAAATCCACCCAAGCACATGCCAAAAGGATTTTCGAAGCTGAAAGCCCAAGCCCAAGCCAGAGCTCCTCAGCTTCTGCCCAAAGACTCGGACACTCAGCACAGGTTCAGGGAAGGCAGCCCAAAGCTTCTCACATGTCGATGCATGGAGGGAGGATCCGGGTGCATGGCGGTGCTGCTGCCACTGCCCTTGGGCGACAAGCCCCTTCGGCGGGTTGCCGCCAGCGGTGGGTGCGCCCTCAGCATCCTGTGAACCCTTCGGGTTCTACTCTCCGCCGACTCAGCATCAGATTCTGTCCGAAGGCTCTTTAAGCCAGAGGCTCGCCCGAGAGCCTCCAGCCCCCTGCACACTCAGATGATCAATGCACATCCTGCCGTCGACATCGGCTCCCAGCTTAGTCAGTGGCTTCGTGGTAGCTTCAGTAAGTAGACTCGGACATTGGAGTCCTGGAGCGGACCGTCAAAACCACCTCATTTCCACTTGGAGGTTCAGGTAGATCTTAGACTCTTCGACACAACACCTGCTGAACGCCGAGCGGCGAAGGCCGAAAAGGTGCAAGTCGGGTGGCACATGAGATTTTCGAAGTGAGGTTTCAGCTTCCTAAGGCCGAAGAAGGGCTTCTTGCAGGGCAGCCTTGACATGTGCGCATTGTCTCCCGCGCGCAGATAAGATAAGGCATGGCAATGCCTTGCATTGGCTCCAGACACCTGTGCTTCTCATCGGTGGCGGTTGTGGTGATCATGGTGATAGTGTTGGTGATGACCATGCCAACTTAATGTCCATGATAGTGGTTGTGATGACTGGTGGTGGCGGTGGTGCCGGCATTGGCAGCAGTCGTTGTCGTCGTCGTCGTCGTGGTCGTCGTGGTGGTGATGACAGTGAAGAATGCTCGTCTGGCTTCCACCTGGCCAAGACCGGATGCGCCGCTGCACAAAGCACAGATGTGAGTCGGGCCTACTAGAACAAACCCCCGCAATGTGCTTCCCAGGCCTGAACCCGCAGCATGAAGGAAGGAATCGCCAAAGCCTCCCGAAACCGCCAAGCAAGCCCCAAGCTTTGCAATCCAGAGATGCAGGCGACATGGCATTCTTCCGATGTGGGCTGTGGCTGGCCGCCTTCTGCTGGCTCGTCCGAGGGATTGCCGAGCACTCAGCATGTTGGGCGTAAGGGGCCGAGCCTGCGTTGCACCCGGTAACACGGCGGTACAGCGTAGTCTGACGAAAGTAAGCATCGAAGCAGGCCCTAAGTTAAGAACTGGGAGAAGTGTAGAAAAAAACATGTAGCAACTACATGCAACTATGCCTTTAATGCATCATTGGACTTAGAGCTCAGCTCTTCGGTCCTGCGAGCCCTGGCGAGGAATTCCCAAAACCCACCGTGGCGCTGAACCAAAAGCCCAAGACTGAAGAGCAGTCCTGGATGGACGAGCCTTGTCTGATCAGAGCAATGCTAATGAGGATCTGCAAGAGGTATCCGGGGCCACTGTAGATCTGAATCCCAATAGTTGGCTCTTCTTCCATCTGCGGGATCTTTCTTAAGATTACTGCGGCATAGCAAGGCGTGTGTAGCATCCATCGCACGGAGGCTCTAAGCCATCCGGGAGTCCCGAGGAGCATTGGCCTGGCTACCAGAACGGTGTGAACCTGGGAGGGGGCTTTGTCATTGAGAACTGGATGTCCGCTGGCTTGGAAGGGCCCTGTCTCACTCCATGCAACCGGGGATCTTCAAGAAGGAATCTTCTAGTTTTGATTGGAACTAAGTTTAAGCTGTGCCCGGGGGTACTCGGTTGTTTTGTATCACGCCCCTGGCGTTGGCAGCATACACCACTGAAGTAGCAGTGCGAGACTTACTCACAACAGGGAAGAGGGCGGCTGCTAAGCGCCGAAAGGCCCGAGCGGTTGTAAATAGAAACCGCATCAACCACAAGACTGAACACCCACACACACACACACACGCACACGTACGCATGTATGTATGTCTGTATG